ATTTTAGCTCTTATTTTTATTATTTCTCTCCTTCTATTTGTTTTGGGATTTGCTTGTTCTTGTTTTTCTAGGAGTTTGAGATGTATCATTAGGTCATTGATTTGGGATCTTTCAGTCTTTTTAATATATGCACTCATGGCTATAAACTTTCCTCTCAGGACTGCCTTTGCTGTGTCCCATAGGTTCCGGTAGGTTGTGTTTTCATTTTCATTGACTTCCAGGAACTTTTTAATTTCCTCTTTTATTTCATCAATGACCCTTGTTCATTAAGTAATGAGTTATTCAGTTTCCAGCTGTTTGCATGTTTTTTGTCTTTACTTTTGTTGTTGAGTTCTAGTTTTATTGCATTGTGATCAGATAGAATGCATGGTATAATTTCTATTTTCTTATATTTGCTGAGGCTTGCTTTGTGCCCTAGGATATGATCTATTTTGGAGAAGGTTCCATGGGCTGCTGAGAAGAATGTATATTGTGTAGAAGTTGGATGAAATGTTCTGTAGACATCAAATAGGTCCATTTGATCTATTGTATATTTAGATCTTGGATTTCTTTATTGATTTTTTGTTTGGATGACCTATCTATTGATGATAATGGGGTGTTAAAGTCTCCCACAACCACTGTGTTGGAGTTAATATATGCTTTTAGGTCTTTCAGGGTATGTTTGATGAAATTGGGTGCGTTGACATTGGGTGCATATAGGTTGATAATTATTTCCTTTTGGTCTATTTCCCCTTTTATTAGTATGGAATGTCCTTCTTTATCTCGTTTGATCAATGTAGGTTTGAAGTCTACTTTGTCAGAGATAAGTATTGCTATTCCTGCCTGTTTTTGGGGGCCATTGGCTTGGTAAATCTTCTTCCAGCCTTTCATCCTAAGCCTATGCTTATTTCTGTCAGTGAGATGGGTCTCCTGTAAGCAACAAATTGTTGGATCTTCCTTTTTAATCCATTTCATCAAACGGTGCCTTTTGATGGGTGAATTAAGTCCATTAACATTAAGTGTTAGTACTGATAGGTATGTGGTGATTCCTGTCATTTAGTTGTCTTAGTTGTTTGAAGGTTTGATTGTGTGTACCTAAGTTGAGGTTACTCTCTACTTTCTTGCTTTTTCTTTTCCTGTAGTTTGGTGCTGCCTGCCTTTTCATGGTTATGTTGGGTTTCACTTTCTGTGTGCAGAATCCCTTGAAGAATCTTTTGTAGTGGTGGCTTTGTGGTCACATATTGTTTTAGTTTCTGCTTATCATGGAAGACTTTTATTGCTCCATCTATTTTGAATGATAGTTTTGCTGGGTAGAGTATCCTGGGGTTGAAGTTATTTTCATTCAGTGCCAGGAAGATCTCACCCCAAACTCTTCTTGCTTTTAATGTTTCTGTTGAGAAGTCTGCTGTGATTTTGATGGGTTTACCTTTGTATGTTATTTGTTTTTTCTCTCTTACAGCCTTCAATATTCTTTCCCTAGTTTCTGAACTTGTTGTTTTAATGATGATATGTCGTGGGGTAGTTCTATTTTGATCTGGTCTGTTTGGTGTTCTGGAGGCCTCTTGCATCTGTATGGGAATATCTTTCTCTAGATTTGGGAAATTTTCTGTTATTATTTTGTTGAATATATTGCACATTCCCTTTGCTTGCACCTCTTCTCCTTCTTCGAATGCCCATGATTCTCAGTTTGGTCTTTTGATGGAGTGGTGAGTTCTTGCATTTTCTTTTCACAGGTCTTGAGTTGTTTAATTAATAGTTCTTTGGTTTTTCCTTTAATTACCATTTCATCTTCAGTTCTGAGATTCTGTCTTCTGTTTGTTCTTTCTGCTGGATTGGCCTTCCTTTTGTTTTGCATTCTGTTTTGTTCTTTTTTCTGAGGTTTTCCATATCCTGGTTTTCCTCTTTAATGTTGTCTATTTTTGTCCTGAGTTCATTTATCTCTTTATTAATCGTGTTCTTTGTTTCACTTTGGTGTTTATACAGTGCTTCTATGGTTTCTTTATTTCTTCTTTGCTTTTTCAAATTCTCTATTTTTGTTGTCTTGGAATTTCTTGAGTGTCTCCTGTACATTTTGGTTGACCATATCCAGTATCATCTCTATAAAATTCTCATTGAGTACCTGTAGTATTTCTTCTTTTATATTATTTTTGTGGGCTTCATTGGGTTCTTTGGCATAGTTTATCTTCATTTTGTTGGAGTCTGGATCTGAGTATCTGTTTTCTTCAGTTTCCTCTGGTTTCTGTACTAATTTTTTGCTGTGGGGAAACTGGTTTCCCTGTTTTTTCTGTCTTCCGTCATTGCCTTGGTGTTGTTATTGTCCCTGTACTGTGTGCAATTAAGTATTTTCTAGCTTGTAATAATACACTAGTGATATTTAGAATGGAAGGGTGAGAGGGATGGAAAGCAAAGAAGATAAAGTAAAAGGGAAAAACAAATAAACAAGTAGAAAAAACAAAACAAAGAAAAAAACAAAAAAGTTTCAAAGATATAAACAGAGAGAGACAGTGTACTAATCAACCATAAGCTGAAAAGGCATTAGAGAGACAGAGAGAGGATTGAAAATAAAAAATAAAAAAATAAAAATAAATGAAAAATATATATACAAAAATAAATAAATAAAAATTTAAAAGTCTCCAAGTTCAAATGCAATAAACTTTCAGTCTTAATAATTTTGGTGTTTGTCCCTCAGCCTCCAATCCTGGAGATGGTGCCTCAGATTTTGTTCTGTAGTTGTCTCATCAAAGGGGAAAAATAAAACAGAACCATACAAAACAAAAAAAAACCCCACAATGTGTCCTAAGTTCAAATACAATACAGTTTCAGTAAGTTTTTCAGCATGCAGGTGTAGTTCGGTTGTTTTCTCATCAAAGGTAGGGAGAGAGAAAAAAAAGAGTCTGGAGACAGGTCTGTGAATGGCTATCTGTGGCTGTGGCTGCTGTTGCTGGCAGTTTTATTTATGCAGATCTCTGGGGTGAGCTTAGCACTCATCTGGCCCTGCAGGCTTTGATTACTCAGAGTTCTCCTGTGCGGGAGCCTCTGCTACAAGCTTTCCCCTTTCCAAGCACACTGGGAAAGGTGACACTGCACCCGCGTTCTCAGACCTGCGTGTTTATTTACAGTTCACGTGGGAAGTGGGTCTTCCCCCCTCTCCTGTGGAGTTTTCTTCCCTCCTCCACTTTTACAAGCTTTCCCGCTCCTGGTTTCTGGGTGTGTGCAGCGTGTGTGCAGCTGCTCCTGCCTTCTCTGGCCCTGCTTGTTTATTTACAGTTCCATGAGGGATTCCCCTCCCCACCACTTCAGCGCTCAGGGGCCCCGCCCTCTTTGCTATGTGTCTTCATTGTTCTTATTGCTTATTACTCAGTTTCTCTTTTTTTCCCCGGGTGGAGGTTGGTCTGTCCAGGGGGCTATGCTGATGTGGCCCAGGGTTGTCTGTGGGAGTACCGCGGACTGCTAAGCTCCCCTTGTCTGCATCTTCCCAAGTTGTCTGGGCGCCGGCGTCTAGTGGCGGCCAGGGGGCCCTCCTGGTTTCTCCATTCAACGTGAAGTGGAAATTCTCTGCACAGGCTGGAGGTGTGGAGGGGTCAAAGTTTTGCCTCCTCTTGGAGGTTTTTCCTGTAAGGTGTGTCTCCAGCGTGTCTCCAAGATTTTACTTTAGGAGGCACGTTTTCTGCTTCCTCCCTCTAGCCACCATCTTGGAATCCCCTGGTAATTTGTAATTTAAATTTGTTATTTAAATAAAAGATCTAAATTTTGAGAAACATTGCCTAAAAGCATACATAGAATAGTTGAATTATTAGTAACACTGTTGTAATGTGTAATGTGTAGGGGAAGGGAGATAGCAAGAACTGGTGAAGTCCTACAGATGGTGAAAGGACGAGGACACACAAGAGCAGGAGAAGAACCCAAAAGGAATAAAACGTTTTGAAAGAGCTTCAGCAGCATTCCTCATAGTGAAGATCAGTTTTCTCCCGGGAATATTTATATTTCATTTCAATGTTTCAGTTCAGTTTGTTGAATGATGAGATGTCAGATTTCATATTTGCAAAAAAAGAAATCAATATTTGCTTTGTAATTGTCTTTTTAAATCTGTATTTCATACTGAAAATTTTCATAATTCATTTTCCAATGATTTTTTGCTAATTTATTAACAGCTAGCAATTTTTATATTTAGTATTGTCCCATAGATAAGATTGTAATCTAAAAAGGAAAAAAACCTGTTTTCCTTAAGTATTAGGTAGCTAAAAATACTGTAATAAAAATTTTACAATGTAAAAAGTAAGTGTTCTTCACTGTAAAAACTGACATTTCTTGAGTGCCTACTATGTGCACTCTGTTACCCACTCTTTAAGGGAAAAGGGAATTCCCAGAATTCCCTCAAAAGCTGAAGGAGCTAGAGTTTGAACAAGAGACTAGTTTTTATTTATTTTTATTTATTTATTTATTTATTTATTTATTTAATGTATCTGGGGATATGGTTCACTGAAAGTTAAATGACAGTTAAATATTTTATTTTATTTAATTTTTTTTTTTAAGATTTTTTTTTTCATTTTTCTTTTTATTCATATGTGCATACAAGGATTGGTTTCATTTCTCCCCACTGGCCCCCACCCCCTCACTACCGAACGCACACTTCCGCCCCCTCCCTCTCCCCCCCCAATACCCAGCAGAAACTATTTTGCCCTTATTTCTAATTTTGTTGTAGAGAGAGTATAAGCAATAATAGGAAGGAACAAGAGTTTTAAAAACTACATCTTACTGTCCAGATCACAAAGATTTGATCAGGTGATAGATTTCTATATTCAAATTTATATACATAATGAATAATCAGAATTATGGAAGTAGAGATAACTTTCGTATCATAAAAACATAACTTAACAAATGAATGCTTTAAAAAAGTGCACCCAGCAGTATATATCATAGAATCTACATATTTATACTAAATTTTGAAAGGGGATTTTACTCTAAGTGATCTCCAATTTGCATAACTTATGCTGTGTCATTTCAAACTCTTTAATTTACAGAAAAACAATGAAGAACACCATCGTTTACAGAAAGGGTCTCCATTCAAGTTAAATCTTTACCCAAGAGAGTATTTTGACACTAATCCTTATTTTCTGGAGAAACCTTTACCTCCAATTAAAAGAGAGGAGAAGAAAGAATCACTTTTGAGCCCTTTTAAACCCTCTTCTCCTGGAAAAAAGGTAAGTTTAAAATTTTTAGAATGAAAATAATTTAAGAATTGTAAAGAAATACTGCCTCCAGCCTAGTGTGGTGGTGTAATCTTGGCAAGGATTTTGAGTTGGAGGCCAGCCTGAGCTACATAGTGAGACCTTGTGTCAAAAAACAAAAACAGAAACAAAATCTGGGCTTGGTGGCTCACATCTGTATTTCCAGCTATTTGGGAGGTGGAGATTGGGAGGATTGCAGTTTGAGGCCAGCATGGCAAAAACTTAGTGAGACCCAGTCTCACAAAACAAACCATGTGGTGTGCATACCTATAATCCCAGCTCCACTGGAGATGGATGAAGGAGATTTGAAATCTGAGGCCAGCCTGGGCAAAAGCATGAGACCCTATCTCAAAAACAAACTAAAAGGACTGGGGTTGTGGCCCACATGGTAGAATGCTTGCCTAGCAAGTATAAGACCCTTAGTTCAATGCTCAGTACTGGAAACAAAAATAAACAAAACAAGGGGAAAAAGAAATGCTTCCTCCAGCTGTTAAATTATTTTATTACTCCTGAAAATACTGAAGTTTTCTTTGTATGGATGCCAAGAATCATGAAACCCAATTTTACAAAATTATGTAAAGCCACAGAACATGACTAGTGTGGAGGATAAGGAAGGTCCTGTAATGAAGTAATTAGTGATAACTTCAAATGTATTTGAATTTACAATGATTTTTCAAAGTTGCCTAATCGAAACCACAAAAGCCAAGTCATCTTTTAATTTTGAAATGGTGATTAAAATGCGGTCTCCCTGATGCAGAAGTTTATAGGCCGTGAGAATAGAATTTATAATGCTCAGATAGTTTATAAATCTCACTTTATCCTTTTGTTCTCTCCCTTACTCTTTTTTCTCTGTGAATTGCCTGTTCATTTTCCCTGAAGACTTTCTATTAGGATGTTTGGGTTTTTCATATTGATTTGTAAGATTTTTTCATATAGTAATGATGCTGTTTTTTTGTCATTTGTGTTGAAAATCATTTTTTCTAGTCTGTTGGATCTTTGACCATGGTTATGATATTTGTGATGTTCAGAAACTTAATATTTGATGTTAAATTTTCCTACTCTTTGTGGTGAGATTTATGCCATTTTTCAGAATGGCTTTCTTTACTACTAATATTAGAATAATATACCTTCTTGAGTTCTTCTATTAATCTTATCCCTCTGCATTTAGGGCTTTATAGAAGTGATGTGAAGAATGAGGTAAGGCTCCAGCTTTCATCTTTCCCAAATTCAGTTTTTGAAGCAGAAGGAAACTGGGGGGAGCCTGGGAATGCTCTGTATCTTGACCATGGTAGTGGTTTCAAGATTGTGTGCATCTGTCAAAATGCATACAATCATGTGCTTCAAATGGATGTGGTTTGTTATATGTGAATTAGACTTCAGTGAAACTAAGTTTGAAAAAACCATTTGTCCCTAGTCTCCTGATGGAATAAGTCATTCTTAACATTACTGCTTTGAAATGCCATATTTATCAAAATTCACATTTGTTGAGTGTATATTTTTGAATTTCCATTCTAGGGGACCATTTATTTCTGCCAAATCACTTTTAATTACTCTAATATTTAATATTAGGTTGTCTAATATCTTCTTTCTACTCTTTGAAACAGTTATATTGGCTATTATCTCATATTTATTCTTTAGAACTTGAGAATTATTTTATAAAACTGTCCCTCCTAAGAAAATCGCTTTTGCTACAAAATTAAATATTCAGAATTTTTGATATATTAATGTATTTTAATTTGAACCTTGTGATCTAGGAATATTCTACTTAAAAAGTCTTCTTTTATATCTTTTGCACAGTTTTATATTTAATGTGACATAGCTTTGCATATTTTACATTTATTCCTCATTATTTTAAGGCTATGGTTAATAGTTTTTTTTCTCCCTCCCATTTTCCTTCATTTTATGTCTCTATAAAAATATGTGATTTAAAAAAATAACTGCGGTCTTATTAATGTTTCTTATGTTCTGATCAGTATTCTGTTCTTTTTTAGATTTTCAGGTATATGATTATATTACCTATAGATAATTTTGCTCTTCTCTTTCTAATATGTATACATCTTATATCATGCTCAGATCCATTTGTGTTGGCCAGCAAAGTGGACATTCTTCCCTTAATCTTGACTTTAATAGGCATACTGTTAATCTTTCATTTTTATAGGTGCCAAAATAGGAATAATTTGGAAATAGTTATTGCATTTTATTGATTTATATTGAACTTTATTGGATGTATGTTGAGTTTTATCAAATGGTATAATCTATTTGTCACCTTTTTCTCTCTTTTTACTTGTTACAAGGTGACTAACAATAACACAGTTCCTGGAAGTACTCTTAATTTGTGGTATTGTATTAATCTTTAAATGTAAGACTGTGTTTTATTTGGTAATGTTTTATTAAGTGCTTCTGCACCAATTTGTGAGTGTGTGTGTGTGTGTTGCTAGGGATCAAGGCTAGGCCTCACAGACACTAGGCTGTACCACTGAACTATCCTGTCAGCCCTGGCACCAATAATTTGAAATGTGATTAGTCTGTACTTTTTTGTATATGCCTTAATCTATTTTTGGTATAAAACGGATACTGGCATCTTTAAATAATTGTGCACATTTCCTTCCTTCCTGTTTTCCATTACAGTTTAAAAGTACTGGAAATTTCTGTTCTTGAAGGTTTGAAAGAACTCACATGGGAAGTGCTCTGGGTTTATCCCTGTGATGGGGTAGCTCTTAGTCTGCTTGCTCAATTCTTGCATGATGTCTCTATTCTCTGTTCCTTTTTTGGTCAATTTTGATCATATATACTTTCTTACAAAATAATTTCATTTGTGTTTTCAAATTAACATAGAGGCTTACAAAATATTATCTTATACTTTTGATATTCCAAATAGTTATGCATATATCCCACTCCTTTTATTATTCTTTGTTATTTGTTTTTTTTTTTTTTTTTTATTATTCATATGTGCATACAAGGCTTGGTTCATTTCTCCCCCCTGCCCCCACCCCTCCCTTACCACCCACTCCACCCCCCCCTCCCCCCCCAATACCCAGCAGAAACTATTTTGCCCTTATCTCTAATTTTGTTGTAGAGAGAGTATAAGCAATAATAGGAAGGAACAAGGGTTTTTGCTGGTTGAGATAAGGATAGCTATACAGGGCATTGACTCACATTGATTTCCTGTGCGTGGGTGTTACCTTCTAGGTTAATTCTTTTTGATCTAACCTTTTCTCTAGTTCCTGGTCCCCTTTTCCTATTGGCCTCAGTTGCTTTAAGGTATCTGCTTTAGTTTCTCTGCATTAAGGGCAACAAATGCTAGCTAGTTTTTTAGGTGTCTTACCTATCCTCACCCCTCCCTTGTGTGCTCTCGCTTTTATCATGTGCTCATAGTCCAATCCCCTTGTTGTGTTTGCCCTTGATCTAATGTCCACATATGAGGGAGAACATACGATTTTTGGTCTTTTGGCCAGGCTAACCTCACTCAGAATGATGTTCTCCAATTCCATCCATTTACCAGCGAATGATAACATTTCGTTCTTCTTCATGGCTGCATAAAATTCCATTGTGTATAGATACCACATTTTCTTAATCCATTCGTCAGTGCTGGGGCATCTTGGCTGTTTCCATAACTTGGCTATTGTGAATAGTGCCGCAATAAACATGGATGTGCAGGTGCCTCTGGAGTAACAGTCTTTTGGGTATATCCCAAGAGTGGTATTGCTGGATCAAATGGTAGATCGATGTCCAGCTTTTTAAGTAGCCTCCAAATTTTTTTCCAGAGTGGTTGTACTAGTCTACATTCCCACCAACAGTGTAAGAGGGTTCCTTTTTCCCCGCATCCTCGCCAACACCTGTTGTTGGTGGTGTTGCTGATGATGGCTATTCTAACAGGGGTGAGGTGGAATCTTAGTGTGGTTTTAATTTGCATTTCCTTTATTGCTAGAGATGGTGAGCATTTTTTCATGTGTTTTTTGGCCATTTGAATTTCTTCTTTTGAGAAAGTTCTGTTTAGTTCACTGCCCATTTCTTTATTGGTTCATTAGTTTTGGGAGAATTTAGTTTTTTAAGTTCCTATATATTCTGGTTATCAGTCCTTTGTCTGATGTATAGTTGGCAAATATTTTCTCCCACTCTGTGGGTGTTCTCTTCAGTTTAGAGACCATTTCTTTTGATGAACAGAAGCTTTTTAGTTTTATGAGGTCCCATTTATCTATGCTATCTCTTAGTTGCTGTGCTGCTGGGGTTTCATTGAGAAAGTTCTTACCTATACCTACTACCTCCAGAGTATTTCCTACTCTTTCTTGTATCAACTTAAGAATTTGGGGTCTGCTATTAAGATCCTTGATCCATTTTGAGTTAATCTTGGTGTAGGGTGATATACATGGATCTAGTTTCAGTTTTTTGCAGACTGCTAACCAGTTTTCCCAGCAGTTTTTGTTGAAGAGGCTGCTATTTCTCTCATGTATATTTTAGCTCCTTTGTCAAAGATAAGTTGCTTAGTTGTGTGGCTTCATATCTGGATCCTCTATTCTGTTCCACTGGTCTTCATGTCTGTTTTTGTGCCAGTACCATGCTGTTTTTATTGTTATTGCTTTGTAATATAGTTTGAAGTCAGGTATTGTGATACCTCCTGCATTGTTCTTTTGACTGAGTATTGCCTTGGCTATTCGTGGCCTCTTGTGTTTCCATATAAATTTAACAGTAGATTTTTCAATCTCTTTAATGAATGTCATTGGAATTTTGATGGGAATTGCATTAAACATGTAGATTACTTTTGGGAGTATCGACATTTTTACTATGTTGATTCTACCAATCCATGAGCATGGGAGATCTCTCCACTTTCTATAGTCTTCCTCAATCTCTTTCTTCAGAAGTGTATAGTTTTCCTTGTAGAGGTCTTTCACATCTTTTGTTAGGTTTACACCTAGGTATTTGATTTTTTTTTGAGGCTATTGTAAATGGAATTGTTTTCATACATTCTTTTTCAGTTTGCTCATTGTTAGTGTATAGAAATGCTAATGATTTTTCTATGTTGATTTTATATCCTGCTACCTTGCTATAGCTATTGATGATGTCTAGAAGCTTCTGAGTAGAGTTTTTTGGGTCTTTAAGGTATAGGATCATGTCGTCTGCAAATAGGGATATTTTGACAGTTTCTTTGCCTATTTGTATTCCTTTTATTCCTTCTTCTTGCCTAATTGCTCTGGCTAGGAATTCCAGTACTATGTTGAATAGGAGTGGAGATAGTGGGCATCCTTGTCTGGTTCCTGATTTTAGAGGGAATGGTTTAGTTTTCTCTTAAGTATAATGCTGGCTGTAGGTTTGTCATATATAGCTTTTATAATGTTGAGGAACTTTCCTTCTATTCCTAGTTTTCTTAGAGCTTTTATCATGAAATGATGTTGGATCTTATCAAAGGCTTTTTTTGCATCTATTGAGATGATCAAGTAGTTTTGTCTTTGCTTCTGTTAATGTGGTTTATTACGTTTATTGATTTTCGTATGTTGAACCACCCCTGCATCCTGGGATGAAGCCTACTTGGTCGTGGTGAATAATCTTTTTGATGTGTTGTGAATTCGGTTTGCCATTATTTTGTTGAGGATTTTTGCATCAATGTTCATTAAGGAGATTGGCCTATAGTTCTCCTTTTTGGAGGTGTCTTTGCCTGGTTTTGGGATAAGTGTAATACTGGCTTCATAAAATGTGTTGGCAGTTTTCCTTCCCTTTCTATTTCATGGAACAGTTTAAGGAGGGTTGGTATCAGTTCTTCTTTAAAGGTCTGATAGAATTCAGCAGAGAATCCATCAGGTCCTGGACTTTTCTTTTGGGGAGACTCTTGATTGCTGCTTCAATTTCATTTTGTGTTATAGCTATTCAGGTGATTAATTCCTCTTGGTTCAGTTTTGGATGATCATATGTATCTAGAAATCTGTCCATTTCTTTTAGATTTTCAAATTTATTTGAATATAGGTTCTCAAAGTAGTCTCTGATGATTTCCTGGACTTCCATGGTGTTTGTTGTTATCTCCCCTTTTGCATTCCTGAATTCTACTAATTTGGGTTTTTTCTCTCCTCATTTTAGTCAGGTTTGCCAGGGGTCTATCGATCTTGTTTATTTTTTCAAAGAACCAACTTTTTGTTTCATTAATTCTTTGTATGGTTTTTTTGGTTTCTATTTCGTTGATTTCAGCTCTTATTTTTATTATTTCTTCCTTCTATTTGTTTTGGGATTTGCTTGTTCTTGTTTTTTCTAGGAGTTTGAGATGTATCATTAGGTCATTGATTTGGGATCTTTCAATCTTTTTAATATATGCACTCATGGCTATAAACTTTCCTCTCAGGACTGCCTTAGCTGTGTCCCATAGGTTCCGGTAGGTTGTGTTTTCATTTTCATTGACTTCCAGGAACTTTTTAATTTCCTCTTTTATTGCATCGATGATCCATTCTTCATTAAGTAATGAGTTATTTAGTTTCCAGCTGTTTGCATGTTTTTTTGTCTTTACTTTTGTTGTTGAGTTCTACTTTTACTGCATTGTGGTCAGATAGTATGCATGTATTATTTCTATTTTCTTATATTTGCTGAGGCTTGCTTTGTGCCCTGGATATGATCTATTTTGGAGAAGGTTCCATGGGCTGCTGAGAAGAATGTATATTGTGTAGAGGTTGGATGAAATGTTCTGTAGACATCTACTAGGTCCACTTGATCTATTGCATATTTTAGATCTTGGATTTCTTTATTGAGTTTTTGTTTGGATGACCTATCTATTGATGATAATGGAGTGTTAAAGTCTCCCACAACCACTGTGTTGGCGTTTATATATGCTTTTAGGTTTTCAGGGTATGTTTGATGAAATTGGGTGCGTTGACATTGGGTGCATACAGATTGATGATTATTATTTCCTTTTGGTCTATTTCCCCTTTTATTAGTATGGAATGTCCTTCTTTATCTCGTTTGCTCAATGTAGGTTTGAAGTCTACTTTGTCAGAGATAAGTATTGCTACTCCTGCTTGTTTTCGGGGCCATTGGCTTGGTAAATCTTCTTCCAGCCTTTCATCCTAAGCATATGCTTATTTCTGTCGGTGAGATGAGTCTCCTGTAAGCAACAAATTGTTGGATCTTCTTTTTTAATCCATTTTGTCAAACGGTGTCTTTTGATGGGTGAATTAAGTCCATTAACATTAAGTGTTAACTGATAGGTATGTGGTATTCCTGCCATTTAGTTGTCTTAGTTGTTTGAAGGTTTGATTGTGTGTACCTAACTTGATGTTACTCTCTACTGTCTTGCTTTTTCTTATCCTGTGGTTTGGTGCTGCCTGCCTTTTCATGTTAAGTTGGGTGTCACTTTCTGTGTGCAGGATCCCTTGCAGAATCTTTTGTAATGGTGGCTTTGTGGTCACATATTGTTTTAGTTTCTGCTTATCATGGAAGACTTTTATTGCTCCATCTATTTTGAATGATAGCTTTGCTGGGTAGAGTATCCTGGGGTTGAAGTTATTTTCATTCAGTGCCGGAAGATCTCACCCCACGCTCTTCTTGCTTTTAATGTTTCTGTTGAGAAGTCTGCTGTGATTTTGATGGTTTACCTTTTGTATGTTACTTGTTTTTTCTCTCTTACAGCCTTCAATATTCTTTCCTTAGTTTCTGAACTTGTTGTTTTAATGATGATATGTCGTGGAGTAGTTCTATTTTGATCTGGTCTGTTTGGTGTCCTGGAGGCCTCTTGCATCTGTATGGGAATATCTTTCTCTAGATTTGGGAAATTTTCCGTTATTATTTTGTTGATATATTACGCATTCCCTTCGCTTGCACCTCTTCTCCTTCTTCGATGCCCATGATTCTCAAGTTTGGTCTTTTGATGGAGTCAGTGAGTTCTTGCATTTTCTTTTCACAGGTCTTGAGTTGTTTAATTAATAGTTCTTCGGTTTTTCCTTTAATTACCATTTCATCTTCAACTTCGGAGATTCTGTCTTCTGTTTGCTCTATTCTGCTGGATTGGCCTTCCATTTTGTTTTGCAGTTCTGTTTCGTTCTTTTTTCTGAGGTTTTCCATATCCTGGCGTTTTCTTCTTTATTGTTGTCTATTTTTTGTCCTGAGTTCATTTATCCGTTTATTCATTGTGTTCTCTCTTTCACTTTGGTGTTTATACAGTGCTCTATGGTTTCCTTTATTTCTTCTTTTGCTTTTTCAAATTCTCTATTTTTATTGTCTTGGAATTTCTTGAGTGTCTCCTGTACATTTTGGTTGACCCTATCCAGTATCATCTCTATAAAATTCTCATTGAGTACTTGTAGTATGTCTTCTTTTAAATTATTCTTGTGGGCTTCATTGGTCCTTTGGCATAGTTTATCTTCATTTTGTTGGAGTCTGGATCTGAGTTTCTGTTTCTTCATTCCCTCTGGTTCCTGTACTAATTTTTTGCTGTGGGGAAAACTGGTTTCCCTGTTTTTTCTGTCTTCCCGTCATTGTCCTTGGTGTTGTTACTGTCCCTGTACTGTGTAATTAAGTATTTTCTAGCTTGTAATAATAACAATGGTAATATTTAGAATGGAAGAGTGAGCTGAGATGGAAAGCAAGAAGTTAAAGAAAGGGGAAAAAATATACAGACAAGAGGGAGAAAGCAGAACAAGGTATCAGACAAGAGAGTTTCAAAGGTATAAACAGGGAGTGTTAGTGTACTAATCGACAGTAAGCTGAACAGACATTAGAGAGACAGAGAGAGGATTGAAAATCAAAGATAAAAAAAATAAAAAATAAGTAATGAAGTAATATCTATTTATAAAAATGAATTAAAATAAAATGGAAATAGAAAATAAAAAAAAAAAAAAACCAAAAACTTCCAAGTTTATATGCAATGCAATTTCAGTCTTAATAATTTGGTGTCCGTCTCAGTCTCCAGTCCTGGAGTGGTGCCTCAGATGTTGTTCTGTAGTTGTCTCATCAAAGGGGATGCATAAAGTAGAACAAAACTACACTCACACCACACAAAGAAAAAAAAAAAACGCCCCACATGTCTCCAGTTCAAATGCAATACAGTTTCAGTAAGTTTTTTCAGCATTGCAGGTGTAATTGGGTTGTTCTCTCATCAAAGGTAGGGAGAAAAAGAAAAAAAAGTCTGGAGACATTCTGAGAAGTGGTATCTGCAACTGTGGCTTGCCTGCCTGCTGCTCTCAGCCTGTAGCTGGCGTTTATTTATGCAGATCTCTGGGTGAGCTTAGCACTCACCTGGTCCCACAGGCTTTGTTTGCTCAGAGTTCTCCTGTGCGGTGGAGGGGCCTCTCTACAGGCTTTCCCCTTTCCAAGCACTGGGAAAGGTGACACTGCCCCGCCTTGTCAGCCTGTGTGTTTATTTACAGTTCACGTGGGAAGTGGGTCTTCCCCCTCTCAAAGCGTCCCCGCTCCTGGTGCTGGGCGCGCACCCGCTCCTGCCAGAGCCTCTCCGGCCTGCCCGCTTGTTTATTTACAGTCCGCGGAAGGATTCCCTTCCCGCCAATCTTCAGCGTCAGGGCGCCCCACCCTCTTTCCAGTGTGTCTTAACTGTTTCTTATTGCTTAGTTACTACTCATTCTCCTCTTTTTTTTTTTTTTTCCCGGTTGGAGTCAGTCTGTCCAAGGGGGCTAAGCCTGCTCTGGCCAGGCTTGTCTGTGAGGCTAACCGCAGTAACCGAGCGAAGCTACCTGGTCCGCGTCTTCCCAGCCGTAATGGGCGCGGCCACTGGTGGCCCGGGGGCCTCCGTCGGTTCTCTGTTTAACGTGAAGTGGAGATTCCTGCGCCGCTGGAGATGTTGGAGGAGTCAAAGTTATGCCTTTTCTCAGTGATTATGCCTGCAACAAGGTGTGTCTCCAAGCGTCTCTCCAAGATTTCACTATAGGAGGGTCGCTTTCTGCTTCCTCCCTCTAGCCGCCATCTTGGATTTCTGGTAGTTTGTTTTGAGACAGCATCTCACTGTGTAACCCAGGCTGGGCCTTGAACACTTGATTCTCCTGCTCATCTTCCCAATGCATGGGATAATAGACATGTGCCACCCCAACATGGCTCTCTTATGCTTTAAATTCTGATATTACATTGTCTATTAGTCTATTCTTTTAAGAATCCTGTGGGTGGTCTGATTTGCATTTAATATTTTTCCTATTTTTAATCATTTTGGCTTTTTCTATTTAAAATTATTTATTTTACTTTCCTTATATTTTTTCTTTTCAAAATAATCGCATGTATCCTCATCTGAAAACTTGAAAAAATGTATAATCATATCTTTCAAATGAATTAAATCTTTTTTAATGTATTTTTGGCATAGACTTTCCAAGCAATAGATGCTAACTAAAAGATTTTATTATAGTTCTATAAGAATTTTCTTTTCTTTTCCTTCCTCCCTTTCCTTCCCAGGCTTGATTCTCAAAATTTACAATCCTCCATGCCTCACCCCCCAAGAGTAGCTTGGATTAATAGAGTGTGTTACCACATAGAAATTTTCTTATTTTTTTTTCATTTTTATTACATATATTCATTGTAGCAGGGGGAATTCCATTGTGCCAATTTCCAAAAGCCTTACATTGCTTTTAGGTCACTATCACATCTCCTTCCTCCACCGACAGTCCCTCCCCCCCCACTTAAACAATTGCAAAGAGATTTACATCGTTCTGTTTCCAATGTATGTATATGAAAGCCATCAACCATAAGAACTTTCATGGATTGATACATAATATTATAACTCAAAATCCATCAACCAGTTTTTAAGAAGTGTTTTTTCAGTCTCAGTTTATAGTAGAAAAATAATTTTGATTGACTCTTTTACTAAACTATGAGAAAGTTATTTTGAGGTATCTCCACTGTCATGGACTGGGGCTTAGCATACTCATGTTAATGCAACGGCTCCTGGCCTTTCCCCATCAAAAAGTCCAATGTGACCTAGGTCTCCTTCCACCCCCATAACAGGCTCCCCCCAAAACTAGGCAATCAGCCTGATTAGGTACAGCTTTTCACTAAAATTTTAATGCCAACAGCTATACTATTCCATTGCTAGAAACATTAGAAGAACTGCTTGGAATGATCCTGTTTTAACCTTACGGAGTTGGTAGTAAGGAGACGTTATGTTGTATTTCTGAATTTGGAACAGTACAGATAATTTCTTTAATGGGGAACCAGCTCACAGACTACACAAGTATGCACAGCTTTCCTCAAACCTAATTTTGTAGAAGCATTTCACAAAATCAACATTACCGTTGTCTCATTTTGATTTGTAAGCCTGGTGGAATGAAGGCTGGGTACATTTGAACCGTATCATTGCATTCCTGCTGACTCCGTATGTGATTAAACTGGGAAGGGAGATACCCCAAGTAGGTGAAAAGATTTTCCATCACCAGGCGGACCAAAAGCAGGCCAACTGAAAGCTTAGATCTGAAATGTCAAACAGGTATGAATAGCTTAGAATTTAGTCCCATATAACAAGAAAAATCTTTCCTGCATTTTTAAGATTTCTTCAAAATCATCTTGTATTTAAGAACATAATCTTTAAAAATGGCAAACTTGAGTAACCTTCCATCTACCTTCCCTCCTTGCAGAATGAACCTATCGTATGACTGCTTTTTAGAGCTACTTAGGTTTATTTGGTATTTCAGGTAGCACCACATGTTAAGAATTAGCTGTTTCTAATGGGTATTTCTTAAGCAATGTGGGGAATTTCTAAGGATGCTTGAAGAGTTCTGTCCTTACCTTGAATAACCCTCTTGAAAACAGGAAATATTCTGGTCCATTAAAACTGGAAATGTCATATAGAAATACTCTTAAGAAATTTATTAATATTATTAAATACTATGTAGCTTTGAATCTTTGATATGCAGTATGCAGGCCTTGCCCTGTGTGGCTTCACCTATTATGCTGTCCTTTCTCGCTTTTTAAAAAATTAACTCATTAATTTATTGGTGTACTTGGGATTTGACTTGCTTCATGCTTGCTTAGACACAGTTTCTTCCACTTGAACTACTATGCCCCTAGCCCTGTTTTTTGCTTTAGTTTTTAGATAGGATCTCTGTGCAGCTTGGCCTTGGACCATGACCTATCAATCTTCACCTCCTGAGTAGTGGAATTAAAGAATAACTACTTATGCCAACCATTCCTCTATTAAATGCATCCTTTGCTTCAGCCACATGATATACATAAATGCATAAACCAAGTTTTAGCCACCCTGGCTACATTGCTAAATAAGTTTTGTTCATTCTGCCGTCTGTCTGCCTTCTATTAACCTTTTTCTATAAAGTCTTTGCTAATTATCCTAGATGGAGCCTCTATTGAGCTTCTTTTCTTTATTTTTTTTTAAATTCATTATTACATGTGGTAATACTTGTTTGGGCATTTTTTCTCCCCCCCTTCCCCTGCACCCACCTCTCCCCCCCACCCCTCGCTTCCAGGTGAGCTTCTTTTTCTATACAAACTTTTTTTTTTTGACAGTCCTGGGGTTTTTGAACTCAGCACTCATGCTTGCGAAGCAGGTGCTGTAACCTATGCCTCCAGCCCTCTCATATAACTTTTATGTATTGTGGTTATGTGGTATGCCTTACATTATAGTTATTTTGTACAATGTAGCTGTTGATTTTTATATTCCTTCCACAAATGCCTATTTTCGCAGATGGCAAGGGCATTAAATCTTAATGCCACTAGTTATTTCTTTTTGGGTACTTCTATACCCCAATACTCAGTAGTGTTAAGTACAGAATGCCTGTATAATATTCTTTGCTTTAATCCTATAATTATACATGCACATTTGTATTAATCAGTGGTGGCAATCCCATTAAGGCATAATTGGAATTAAACATCTTTTTCCCACGAATTCAGTATCAATTAATGGAATTATCACTTGTAATTAATCTAAGAAATAGAGTACATCCCAAATTTTACATAAGTAATAACCAACTCCCCTACACCCAATACAATACACTGACAAAAAGCTCTTGAAAATCTGGGTACCAGTGACTCCTGCTTATAATGCTTGTTACTTTGGGAGGCCACAATCCCAGGCCAGAAGTTTGTGAGACCCATTCAACCCATAACTGAGTGGCAGTGGCCAGCCTGGGAGCAGGGAGGAAGGGAGCTTGGAGCCCTCATCTTAACATGGGAAAAGCTGGATATGGTGGATGAGCCTGTCATCCCAGCTACAGTGGGAAGGTGTAACTGGAGGGTCATGGCTCCAGGCCAGCTTGGGGCAACAGTTCAAACCCCATCTCTAAAATAATCCGAACAAAAGGGCTGAGGCCCGAGTTCAAAACATCCAGTACCACAAAAAAAGAAAAGAAAGCTAAATAACTATGAATGCCAGCCAATGGTATAGAAAGTCAAACTATGCAGTTTTTATATACAATCTCTGATTTAGAGATGTATATGTTAAGTACGGTGACAATCAATGAATCCGAGTCCTTTTAAATGCAAAATTTGGCTGATTCCAGGTTGTTAATGTGCTGTTGATCCATACATTCACATGACTAGGTTTTTGAAATATACTTTCAATGACTGATGGGTGATGTATGATAAGTGTGGATTGAACAACTGATCTATTCATATTTCATCTCCTCTTCAAAGTACTTTGGTGCAATTTTGGAAGTAAAATTGATTTTACACTAGCAAATTCAACAAAATTTTGACCCATTTTTCATTCTGAAAGAACAAATTAGAAACTGATCTGTTTCCCTATGTGAGTTTTCTTCCCACATAGCCCTTGGTATCAGATAACTTCAGGTCATTCTAACTGACATTTTCATGTGGGCAGAGTTTGATAGAGTATTGGTTTGGAAACAAACCCAATGCCTTTTTTTCCCCCTGTGCTTTGACCCTTACAGTACTCTGCCCACTTTATCTGATTAGAAACAGCATAGAATTGGAATTTTCCTGCAACATACCTACCCTCAACTAGACTGGAATTTTTTTTGTGGTATATAGGGTGGCTCCAGATTTTCTGGTGTCGTTCCTATCCCAGAAAACAAGCTGAATAGTTCTGTGATGCCCCAGGATATTTAGGGGAGGGAGTAAAAGTGATTGGTTGACTCTTTTGAAAATGAAAGACCTTTACCTTATGTTTAAATAACTTTGAGTTTTGAAACTTTTCCATTTTTACATGATCACAATTATCATCCTAAATCAAGTTTTAGATTCTTCTACTGTAATTTTAAAACCATAAATCTTTTGGGCAGTAGTATTAAATTTTTTTCCATAATTGTTTTAAATTACATTTTCTAAACATAACCTGACATTAACAAAGAGAATTTTTTTAAGTTGGTGGAGAAAATTTGTGGGGCTGGGGAATGTATGTAGCTCAGCTGGTAAAAGTGCTTGCTAGCATGTGTGAAGGTCTGGGTTTGATACCCCAGCACCAAAAAAAAAAAAAAGAAAGAAAGAAAAAATGTGAGAAAGAACAATTTTATTTGTGGATTAATTAACATGTAAAATTATTTAGTTAAAATTTCATGTAAAAATTTATGAGAGTGTACACGAAATACTGCCTCTAACCTGTAAAAGTTAAATATGGCATTTATTTTCTAAAATTTTTTAGGGCAATAAATCTGAAGAATTACAAGACTGCTTCATAACATCCGCTATTGACAACTCAGAAGACAAGTTAGCTTTCTAGATCCTGACTTTACCAGTAATTCATTTCAAGAAGCTAATTATTCAAAAAATATAAAAATGGGGGATATGCTCAAACATTTAAAAGCCCAATTTAAAACCTGTAACTTCTGTAATCTTCTCCTGATTTTAATGGCTACTACTTAATAATAGTAATTTGCTAATTAATTTAA